CCTCGGAAACCCAAGGAGGGGTCGCTATGAGTCGGGTTTGACTCGACGGCACATAACAACAACAACAACATCTTAAATTTGAGGTACAGATAAATAACTTTCCTTCTGTCTTTCTCATTTCATCTTGAAATCTGTCTGACACCTTAGTACACCTTGCACACAGATCTTCACTTCATCCTAAGCTCTCAGTAAAACACTGGAGACAGCTTGTATTGGTGGTGGTGGTGGTGTGTGTGTGTGGGGGGGTGTTGTTATTTGGTGTAATAAGTTTTCCCTCAGTTTTTACCCTGATGTCTTTAAGGATACAAAACAGTTAAGAGTCCTAGATGACATCCTTCTTAATAATAATTATAAAAAGGTCACTTAAAAAAAAAACATAAAAACAAAAAAACAACTTTCCACAGATCAGCTCAGTTTTCTAAGGAGTGTTCCATCCTGTGGTATTTCAAGTGCTGGAAGCCCAAATTTCAAGCAGGGTTAGAGTTAAGCCAGTGATTTAAATAGGTGAAAGGCTCTGTATCCCATTACTAATCCCAAAGCCATGCAATGTGCCTATCACCACAGCAATATTAGTAAGAAAGGCAACAGGCGATGCACAGGTTTAACTCTATCATGAGTCAACAACTTTTTTCCTGTGACCACTGACAACAGCCATTTGCTATAGTTGGCTAGAAGTGGCAACAGAGGAAAAAGATATAAAGGAAAAAGAAAGCAAGGTATTTTCTTTCAGAAAATTAATAGTCCAAGTGAGGCAACAAAATAAAATTATGTGAAGAACTTGCGAACCAAATACAAAATGAATGTAAATCCAGATGGTGGGAAAACATTACACAAGAGGAGATATTCACAAATAAAGAAGGTGGGAGGAAGGAGAGAATTTTAGCAAGGGTTTTCATAAGAGGGATGTCTTGCTCCAGACTTGAGGCAGTGTGGGCCATGGGTGTGGAACAGCGGGAGGGTCTTATGAATGAAGAGGAATAAAATCTAAAAGCACATAGGTGAGAACAACGGAGCCACGCACAGTGAGCACTCACATTTGCGTAGTTGGCACAGACTCCATACTTGTGGGATATGGCCAGGTCTAAGAATAAGACAGAGGCTAGATCATGTTTCAGTGTCTGTTTATTCATTTGTCAATTCATTGAACATATTTAACCCAACAACCAGTTACCACTGAGTCCACTCTGACTCCTGGCGACCCCCCAGGTGCATCAGAGTCGAATTGTGCATGGGGTGTTCGTGGCTGATTTTCAGAAGTGAATCATCAGGCCTTTCTTCCAAGGTGCCTCTGGGTGGACTTGAGCTGCCCATCTTTCTGTTAACAGCAGAGCGCATAACCGTGTGAACCACCCAGGGAATCTTCAACACAATTAGGGACCACAAAGCAGGAGATGGGTGCCTCTAAGGTTGGGCAATCTACTTCCATAGTGATACTGCCTCGGCAACCCAAGGAGGGGTCACTGTGAGTCGGGTCTGACTCGACAGCACATAACAACAACAACATAGGTAATGAGGACAGAGGCTAAGTAAAGACTAAGTCTCTGCTGTTATTGGGTTACATTCTAAGAGAAGGAGATGGACAATAAGCCCACAAACTATAAGTAACAAATGAAATATCATTTGAATCTATTAGGTAGGTAGGATCCTAAGGAGCACGCCAGCCTTGCGAGGAGACTAGGAGGTCACGGTGTGAGGCAGCATGCTTTGTGCAGTCCTGCAGCCACTGGACTGTGCTGTCACCAAACATCATCGCTATTCTAGCCTCTCTGCTCTAAGGTGAAAGCAAGGCCACTGGTGCCGCAGAACAACGAACAGGAAAATCCTAATGATGTCATTGAATTCTTGGGCAGGTTGTTCACAGGTCAGGGACCTAGGTTACCTGGTTCATACAACGGTCCTGAAAGTGTGAAATTACCTAACCTGGGAGAATGAGAAAGAATTCAGCCAACGTCAGCCTGTGTGTTGGAAACTGTCCATAGAAAAAGAAATACAATGATGTAAAACTGTATACGGAGAATATGTTTTGGCTTGAAAAGTACCACTAATCAAAGAAAATTTCATTTTAGCCAGTCAACCTATTTTGATTTCTACATTTACTAAATTTTCTCTCTTAGTTAGAGGAAGCCATGGATCCAATAATAGTGAGAGACACTCACTGCTTCAATTTGATATTTGGAAGCAATAAGACAGAATAATCTACATTGTTGTGTAGTGTCTTCAGAAGTGACAGGCCAGTCAAGAGCACTGGATAGAACTGTGCGGGAGGAAGGAAGGAGAGTCTACAGGATGGCTGGTCCCTAGTCTGCGAATGGAGTTAGGATGATCATGATCTCAACTCTTTATAAAGGATGCTTTGAGACCCACGAGATTTTACAACTTCCCTTGTTAAAAGACCCAAGAATAAAAACATGGAGACCTAGCAGTAGCTATGCAGTGGTCCAAGAACCATCACGAACAGCACAGCCATGATAGCACTATCCTTTCTGAGGGAGCATAACCGAACCCTGGGACGCTTCTGCTTTGAAAAAACAGGAAGAGACTAGAGGATGTATGGTGTCAGGACTATGTCATCTCCTGTCTGAGCCAAACTAAATAACCCTTGTGTAACTGCCTAGCTTTAAAGAAGTTAATCAGCTCAGGAATGCCATGGGCCTTACAACATTCTGATACAAATTAGGAAAACTATGCTTCTTCCTCAGGTCGACACAGTGCAGTGCCAGAACACAGAGCCTGATTAGGTGAGAGTCGGCCAGATTTCACCTGCTGGTCACTTGTGTGTAGTGTACATCCTGCACAGCCACGCATGGTGACTCTAATTTGGCTGAAACAAATGAGTGGTCTACGGTGAATGAAATAGTCATCAGTAAATTATGTAAGTTAGTTCAGAAGCCACCTTGCTTCTGACTCCTCAAGAAACTACCTAATGAAGCTGGTCTGGCATGTCTGCCCCAAGGCAGTTCCAGCACTCCTAATCATGCCTTTCTGCACTAAGGATGTCTTGCTGTCAGGAAGGACCATTCCATAGACAGCAATGCAGGTTGCACAAGTCTATACAGGTGGATTTTGGGGGCACCCAGGGAGCCCTGCCGTGCATCACATACAATGGAGCAAGTCAGTAAGAAAGTACACCAAGTGCCTAAGGCTGTTTTTGTCAGCCTATCCTTCTCCCATCTTACTCTACAGCTTTGGAGTTTTGAAAGCGGGATGCTTCCTATGTGAGACTAGACAGTAGTTTCTCAGAAAGAAAGGAGATTGAAGTTATCAGTTCCTTCTATTTAAAGTTTCCTTAGTGTCTTCTCTAAGCTATCGTATCTGTGACATTCTTTTCCCCTCTAATCCACCCAAACCAAACCCACTGCTATTGAGTCCGACTCATAGTGACCCTATAGAACAGAATAGAATGGTCCTTAGGGTTTCAAATGCTATAAATCTTTATGGAAGCACAGACTGCCTCATCTTTCTCCTCAGGAGCGGCTGGTGAGTTTGAACCTTTTGGTTAGCAGCTGAATGCATTACCACTCCTCAACCAGAGCTCCTTCTACTTTAATGTAATTTTCCCTCTACTTTAATTCAACAAACATTTATTCAGAAGCTTTCCTGTGCCGAGACCTGCCCGAGTTGTAGAGGATGTCGAGATGAGTGAGCTAGAGCCTTGGCCTCAAAAAACAGAGTCTTGTTTGTTTCTCTGGTGCTGCTGTGATGGAAACACCACAGTGGATGGCTTAGCAAACAGGAATTCCTTCTCTTGCAGTTGAAGAGGCTAAAAGTCCAAATGCAGAGGGTCAGCTCTAGGGGCTGGGTGAAGGCCCCTTGACCTTGGGCTTCACCTCTGCTTCTTATTTCAGGCCCACTGGAGCTAGAGGTGTCTGCTAACTCAGACAGCTACTAGCTGCTGAGGCTGATGAACGCAAGGTTGGCAGGTAAATGGCACAGCCCCAAGATCAGTAGGCAACATGGCAGCCCACTAGTTCAAGTCTGGGAACTGAAGATGAAGACTCAGCCACATGTCCACATGTAGACGTGCCAAAAAGCTAGAGACCTTTCTCAAAGCTTCTCCTTATATACCAGAAGCAGGCCACACCCTGAAGGCAACTACTTAGCTGCTCACACCTGATTCCACCATGATGGTGATTACAGTCTCATCATGGGGAATAACTATATCCAGCCACCCCAAACCAAGGCCCAGCCAAGGTGACACACAACCTTAACTACCACAAGTCTTTTTAAAGAAGTTGAACACAAGTACAGAAATAGCTTCAATTCAAGGCACCCAACTCAAACCATTGCTGGCATGAGGCAAGGAGTGAATAAACAGCAGAAATAGAATAGAGACAGAGTAAAAAATGTGAAAGGATTGCTGTTCTCTGTTACTGTCATTGTCTTCCTCTTCCTTGGTGTGGGTTTTAAGTTTCTAATGTGCTGACTATAGCAGTGTCTGAGAAGATGGATGGGGCAAAATTAGTGTAAGGCAGAAGCATACAAAAAAGTGAAGTCATGTAAGTGCACATTGCAGCTGTTGCTGAAAACATCGTCAAAAGGTAGAAAATACAGAGACCCAAAGACAGGTAATGAAAGGTTTCAAAAGTTGGAACATGTTAAGTTAATAAAATGGGCCTTATGTTGAATATTTCCTGGGTGGACCAACAGTTTCCCTCCAGTCCTGACTTCAAGGTTGGCAGTTCACACCCAGCATCACCTTGGCTGAAAAGCCTGGTGATCTGCTCCATGAAGATTACAGCTGAGGAGGCCCTATGGGGCGGTTCCACTCGGTCATGTGGGGTCGCTATGAGTCAGAATTGACTCAATAGCAGTAGATTTTTTTGTTTCTTGGTTGGTTATATAAAATATGGATTGAAGTGTTAATTGCATTTATATTAATTAAATGGGGAAAGATGAATGAATTTTAGTTTTTCATTTTGAATCCTTCATGTTAACCTTATATGCTGATCTGTGTCATTTGCTGATAATAAAAATTACTTCTTTCAAAATTATATCCAGGCATGGATACTAACGACGACTCTGATGAAGACCAAGTTACAAGCTATGATGTTCAGCTCAATATTCAAGAATCCATTGAAAACAGCAAGATTACGTTTGGTCCTGCAAGGTAACACAGAAATGGACCATCCTTAACAAAATGTCTTTATGGCATTCATTTTGTTGTAAGATAAAATGAACAGCATTCCCTGACTTCTCCTCTAGGAAAACGCTTACCCTTCTTCTCTGGCAGGACATCTAATGGCTTTACAAGGGGCTCTGTGCCTCGGTTGCAGCAATCTGTTCTTGGACAAATCACCATTTAGTAGAAAATGGAAATCACCTAAATGGGGAATTCCTAGTTGAATTTGTGGCTGTATAAAAAAACCCAAACTCACTGCCGTCAAGTCGAATCCAACTCATAGTGACCCCTCCTTGGGTTTCCAAGGTAGTATCTCTACGGATTGCCCAGTCTTCCTTCTGAGGAGTGGCTGGTGGGTTTGAACCACCAGCCTTCTGGTTAGCAGTCAAATGCCTCAGGCACTATGTCACCAGAGCTCCTTGTGGTTGTATAGCATTGCCTATTTTCTAAATTAGTGTGAAATCCAAAAGGACAATGGGTAATTTGAACAAATTTACAAGTATAGTTAATACAACTAAATGGATTGACATAAGTCTATATATTCTAGGACCATTTTGCTGTTGACTTAGGCAACCCTTTACACTTTGTGCTTTTCATTTGTACGTTTTTAAAATGTGGAAAAGAACACTAACACACCTTAACCAGTCCTTAAGTTCAATAAGTGGGAGAAGTGTTGTGGGTTTTTATTATATATGGCAAAGTGACATATAAACTACAACTTATTCAATTACTTACTAGCCCAATGATAGAAGTAAACAAATGAAAACATGTACAAAATCAGTTTTATGTTAACAGGAACTGTGGAGTCTAAAACTGCAAATGTTTCTGTGTTGAACAATACACATTATTACTTCTGACAAACACAAACTTTAGTTGA